CAGGAGAGGTGGGACATGCCTTGCCTGTGCCCAAATGCCTCTGCCCTCCCTCGGGTGTCCCCCCCCCTACCCAGATCCTGTTTTCGGAGGCGGAAGCTCCCAGGCTCTCCCAGAGGCACCCGGGACTTCTCTTAATGAAGCTGCCTCATTGCTGGGCTACGGATCTGTGCTGCAACTTGCCCCTTCGCCAGCACAGTCATTTCAGGAGCACGTAGCTCAGCTACATGAGCTAAGGAGCAAGCGGGCCTTCACCCACCTAAGGCCCTGTTAGGAAGCAAAAGCAACACCCCCCTCCCCAGCCCTAAAAAAGACCCCGAGCTCCAGCCACGCCACTGCCACCCCCCTCCCCGGCGCTCTCACTCAGCATCGCCTCCAATTGCTTCCCTAACAATTGAGATTTCTGCTTTGAGCTCATCTGTCAGCACCTCTGCCAAACAAAGACCAGTCGGGGTTTGATATTTCGGGTGCCGAGGGCAGCGTTAAAACCCTGGAAACACCCGAACACGAAGGAAAACAGGTGTCCAGGCACCCACCTCCGCAGGCTGAGCCCCCCGGGTGCACATCCTGCCCCCCCACCCTGAGACACAAAAGGGGGATAAGAAGGAGAGCAGCGGCACCAGAGGGAGTCTAAAGCTGCATAAAAACCCCTACAGCTGTGTGCAGAAATCCCACTGCTGCAGCACATCTGCTCCCAGAACCCGGCGAACAATTCCTGGGAGCTGCCCAGACTCGCTGGGCTGCCCCCGGCCCGGGCGGCCAGGTCCCACATGCCAGCCCCGTGAACGCCGGCCCCGGATGCTCTCGGATACAAAAACACGTCCCGGTGAAGCACAGCCGGGTCAGCTCCTCCGGAATCTGTTCCCCCTCCCCAACCTGTGAGCCTGCAGAGGGGCAGCCACCACAGCCAGCAGCGATGCCGCCAGAAAAAAATGGCAAATTTCACAAAATAATAGTGAATCTCACAGAAAATAGTGATTCTCGCTCACTCAGGGGTCCCCATACCTCAAGATGTGAGGATGCGCTGCTCTCTTTGCATGAGGGTGAGCCAGAGGAGAGGCTGGGGACAGGGAGATGGGGCAGCACGAGGCTGTTAAGATCCAGGGAGGGCAGGAGCAGGCATGGCCACCTCCCAGCCCTGCAAAACATCTGCAACCTCAAAACCCCGGCGGGACCTTCAGAGGACCTTTGCATTTGGCTTTTTGTCAGGAGCCTGTTTGGGAGCCTCAGACAGGAGCCTCAGCCCAGGAGGTTCGAATTTGCACCTCAAAAAGGCTTTTCTTAGCCCTAGGGGTGCCCAGCATGGCCAGTAACACAGCAAGCAACCAGGCGATTGTGTCCCTGCCACCCCTGCGCTGGGGACGGTGACACAGTGGTGAGGTGTCCCCAGGACACACAGCCACAACTGAGCACCCGATGGGCCACGCTCAGCTTTGCCACGTGCTCAGGGAGCTCTGACATCAACTTTGTTCCAGTTACAAAGCGGGGGAAAAAAAAAAGAGTTATCATCACTTTGGAAGGAACTGCTCCCCGGCAGAGCAGGAGACCCCCACCACAGCAGGGATCTGCAGGTCCATGGGACCTGGCTGCAAGCACCAGCGTAAGCACAGGCATTTCAGCTCCCCGGGTGCAGGCAGGGCCTGCCGTGTACGTGCAGGAGCAAGCAGTGCATACGCAGGAGCATACGCACCGCTTGCTCCCTGCACTTCTCCAGCTGCACCACCCAAGATCACTTGAGGACACCCCGTCACCATCCTCGGATACGCAAGCGGGAAAGGCAACATCACAGCGTGACCCAAACTGCAAAGCTCCTTGAACTCTCGCTTTCCCAAAAACTTACACCGAGGCAGCCGGGACTGCAATTCCCACCCCTTCTCTGATTGCTGCTGCCTTTTGCACCAAGCAATGAAGCCACATGCTGGAGACCATCCTGCCTGCTGAAGGGGGGCGTCCGGCACGCCGCCCCTCCAACTGCTGAGGATCTCCCGCAGGAGCCACCGTCCTCGCAAGCCTCACCTCCTCCTGCTCAGCCCTTTGTCCTCGCCTCCCCTCGCAGAGAACGCTCACCAACATGTGCACACGGGGCACTACAAAAATAATAAGAAACAGAGCGCTCCCCTCTCACATGTTCTGTCTCACGGGAGGAGGAGAAAAACAGCAGCGCAGTGTTTGCACTGCTCAATGCACTGCAAACATACAGCCCTACACTTCGCCCAAGAACCCATGAAGAATGAAATAATGCAGGATTCCGGCTCCCATGCCCAAAGCTCCCCAAGAGACCGGCGCTAGCGGCAGCCCCGACACTGTCTGGTGCCCAGGACGTGCCCTGCAGCGATACCCCACCGAGACAATGAACCCGCTGACTCCGGATCCCGCCCTAGTTTTGCAATACCAGTTTCTTTAAGGTTTGCCAAACTGGTTAAGGACCATGCTAAAATATTAACTGCTTAAGAGAGATTCTTCTCAGCTCCTGCCCGGCCGAGCTCGCCGGCTGCCATGGAGCGGGCAGAACGGCTGCGCTCACCTGCGAGGGGTCCCGGTGGGACGGTGCCTCCGCACCCCACTGTGTGTGTGTCCCGGGACAGGGGCTGCTCCCCCAGCCTGGCTCGGCCTGGTTTCAGTTTTCCTTCTTGAGAAAACAGACTGGCCCTTATCAGGTGCGTTTCCCCAGTAGGTGGAGAGATTGCAGGGGAGACAGCCGGACTTTGCCTCCAGACAGGGGCATGCATATCAAAAGGCTGGAGGGAAGCGTTTTACCCGATGGCTGGGATGGCAGCCATCACCCAAGCCCTGTTTGAATAACAAAAAGAAATAAAGGACCCCAATGGCCGGGGCTCAGTCCCTCCAGGCTGGCTCCTGCCGAAGGCTCTGGGCTATCTGAGCACACAAATGGCCTTTAACTCTCCCCAAACTGAACATTTCCCTCTAATCCTGGGAAGAAAAGAGTTGCTGGGTTGGCAGTTTAGTAAGAAAGGGAGCCCATTTTGGCAGATATGCTCATTAAGAAGGGCAGGCTCTCCCCTCCCCTGCCCGTTTCCTGTGCCTGGCCCCTCTCCGGCTCCCGCGCTCCGGCACTTCCCTCCATTTTCCCCCTGTTTCCTCTCCTGCCCCCCCTGCCCCGCTCCTCTCCCCCCTCCGGACCGCAGCAGCCCTTTGCGGCCACCCCCAGGCTCCAGCACGGTCACCCGCTGCCTTTCAGCAAAGCTCGGTTGAAAGAAAAGAAACAAAAAACAAACCGGCCCCTCCTCTCCCAGTGAAGACCAGGCCTGAGAAGTCTCCTGGGCAGCCACCATCACAGCCAGCCGCTGCTCCAGCCGCTCTAGGCTCTTTACCATGCTCATCTCGGTCATGTCCCCTTGAAATGAGCCACGCTGGCTCTCCCGAGCCCCCTGCCCAGGGACGTGCCCCGTGTGGAGCAGGAGCCCAGGCTGGTGCTGCCTGCGGGCAGGGCTGGGGGCTGCGGGGGCTCTGCTGTTGGCGCAGGTGGGTCTCGCTCAGCAATGGCAGGTCCTCTCTGTCCGGAGCAGGTTACTGCTTCATTTACTGCTTCATCTTTCTCCTGCACAAGAGGACGTAAAGCCATGACAATGACACCTTACTGTCCCCATCTCCCCCCACCTGGCCCTGTACAGCGGGGCTCAAGCCTCCAGCCCTACCCAGCGCCGAGAGCTGGGACACCCTGGCTCATTTCCCCTCATTTCATTAAAAATTATTAAACTGTAAAGGCAAGTCCTGCTGTAGAGGCAGCACGCTTCACTCCCCCTGTTTATTCTCTAGCCCCTTTTGGGAGGGAGGTTGGTGCAGCATCAGCAAGAGCCCCGGGACCAGTGCTTGCCCCGGGTGTTCCTCTCCCCCGAACTCCTGGAACTTGTGTCCCACCTTGGGACCACCCTGGAATTTATTTCTCTTTCTCCGATGCTCTTCCTCCCCTGCCTCTACCTCCACCAGAGCTTCTCCCCGGGCTCGGGAGGAGGAAAGTGCCAGTAGAGTCCCCCCCGGGATCGCTCCGGCTCGGGAGGAGGATGCCAGCAGACCTCCCCTCCCCGGGATTCCCCCCCCCGGGATCGGTACCTGCCGGTTGGGCCGGTGCCCGGCAGCTGAGTGCGCCCCGGCTCCGGCTGCCCCCTCCCCTCCGTCCCCAGCCCCGGGGAAACTTCACGCCCGAGGCGCCGGCCGGGAGCTGCTTTCCTGCGAAGAGAGAAAAAGCGAGATGCGCTGACAGATCCCTCGACCCAAGAACCGAAAACAAAGGTGTTCAAGCCCCGGCAGCGCTGCCGCCGCATCCCGGGCTCCCGGAAGCCCTCCCCGTGCCCCCCTGCTTAGGGGCGGCGCTGCCCGGGGCCCGCCGAGCCACGGGCAGGGTAACCCC